AGTTTTCGTTTTTTGCCTTGATAAACAAGGAGGAATTAGATGGAATAGAGACCGTTAACATGCTATTAAGAAGAAATTGGTGGCTGGAAAAAGTCCGATGATTGTTTAGGAGAGTTCGGGAAGGGGTATGACTGAGTAGTACTGGATAATTTTTTTTCCCCTAATTTGAACAAAGGTTATATTTGTAGTATAATCTTGCTGTATTTATCAATAATGTGTTTTAATTAGTGCGTTTTTACTTTTTATAAAGTGGTGCAAAAACAAAAATCATGGTGGTAATATAGCCACCCATAATAAATTACCCTAATTTCATAACCTAATTGTTGAGACTTTTTCGATTTTATTGGTAGTTAAATTTATACTTTGATATACATACATACTTATATAGATATATGTATGTATGTATATGTATACACATATATGTCATCTATGTATATATATGTATACACGCACACATACACATATATGTATGTATGTATGTATATATATGTACACACACACACACACACATATGTATATGTATATGTATATGTATATGTATGTATTTTCTCTCTCACCTATAAAATATGATGAAGTGAACAGCCAAACTGCGGTTTAAATCTTGACCAAATCATTAGGTTTTTTCAAACCAGCTTTAAATATTTTTGGTTTGGGTTTGGGTTTTTCTGAACAAATAGGAGGCTGCTGATAATTAATAATTATAAGCATGACTAAATAAATAGGGAATTTTCCAGTATGAGGTTCTGAACCTTTAAAACTTGTGATCCTGAACCTTTCATTTATAGTATATCGAGTCCCCAACCTTCTAAAACTATTCGCACTTAGTCCTTGCTGACTGAAATCGTCAATTTGACTGTTAAAATGTAAAGAATCGTGTTAAAATGACTATTACATCTTAATTTTAAACCTACCTTTCTTAAATTAGTTTTTTGTTTCTTGTTATTGTACTTAAACTAACGATAGTGACGGTGACTTCGATTTGCAGAAGAGATCAAAGCATTTAATTGGTTGGTTTTAAAATTTATCAAAAACCAGTCAAACTGGACATCTTACACTTCTAATTTTGTGTTAACTGCTTGTGGAAAAAATGAAAATAAAAAACCTTTCGTTCTCTCTATCTGTACTTCAATCTAATTCTCATGGGTTGCTGCCATTCTGTTTGCAGCTTCAAAAGGTCATTGATGAACAGAAAACAAAGTTACGTAAAACTGAACGAGCTCTTCAAATTGCCGAGGTATATTACTGATGCTTCAAATACTTATTAAATTTTTTTGAACATTTGGTTGGATAATTAATTGCTTTTTCTTTAATTTTGAAATTTAATGCAGGAGGAATTAATGATGGCAAAGTCAGAATATACATCCAAAACTAAGGAGTTAATGGAGGTAAGTTTTCAGTGGTTTGTTTTATATTTCCTACAACTCTTTCTGTGAGTATAGTTTTGGAATCTCAGTTGACTTCCTTATTTCTTCTATTTTTTGTTGCATTTCATGATACCTATCAGACACAATAAAAGATTCTTTATTTCTACCATAGTTCTTCAGCAGCGTAGTAATTGATGCTTTTCTTCAACATGGCTATAAAGCTGATTCACCTCATCTAGGTTCTATACGAACTTTTCATTTGAAACCTAGAATTTGATATTAATGGTTGACACAATTCATTAGCATGTCAATTTTCTCTCCCCCCATCCTTACTAATGTTTTTATTGGTTTATCAAAGTCTTGAATAACTAATTCTTCATCTTCTATATTTTTATATCATGGAAATATTGAACTATTTTCTAGTTCATGTTTATTTCAAATAACCTTTTCGCTAAGCTTATTTTGTTGATGAAGTGTGACTTTGCACTTAGTTTCCTATTAAACATAACTTAACTGGTCTAAGTGCTCTTGTACTATATTTTCCATCTCAAATTTGTCATTGCATGTCATTTTCTGGTATATAAGTAAAGTCTTCCTTTTCTCCTCCTCCTAATCTTGCTTTGTTGATTAGTGATGGATTATTGACTAACTATAATTGCTTTGCGCTATGAAAGAGGGGACCTTAGTTGTTCTGTTATTCAAAAAATTAATTATTCACATATTGTTTTTCCTCTCTATTTCATTTTCCGTCCTATAACTTATGTTTTTTATGTTGATCAAATCTGAATCTGCATTTAATATATCATAACTTGACACAAAATCTTTTCCCACATAGAATGAACCTAATTTTTTCTTGTGTATATGGATTTGGATAATATAGTCTGCTAGTCTGCCTATAGTTCATTTGATGGGAATTTGTGGTAATTCTTCCTGTCAATCAATTCATGAATGGGGCAAAGTGTTGGTAATTGAGTCGAATCTAATTATGAAGTCGCTGGATTCACGTGCCCATCATTATGATCATATAATGTTTTATTACTTTTCTAGAGCATCACCATCCTCCATTCTTTGCTGCTGCAGTCTTTTGTCCTGAAATGTAACCCTTCTTTCTACCAGCTATGTACATCGCCAAAATTTTAGATCAAACACGATAATTTGTGCCATCGAAGTTAATTTGAATTGGAAAGGCAGTCTCATGACCGGTCAGAAGATAAAAGATCTTGTTGTTGTCCATTTTTATCTGGGGTTTGATTGTCAGTCCAAAACCGCACAACATCCCAAAATTTCACAATTTCAAACCAGCCGCAAGGAAACACTACCACCAGCAATTCAGCATAAGAAAACAACACCGACATTAGCAACTCACCATAAGAAAACAACACCACCAGCGACCAAAAAACACCTACAGCCCAATAAAAATCTCCAACCAGAAGGAGGGCCCTCAATTCACTAACCTTTGGTCTGAAAAGGGTTTGTTGCTAGGGAGATTCGCTGGAGTAGAAGCAGCTTCGCTTGAGGTTCGCAAGTGCTGGGTCAACGTAGATCTGAGTTCACAGAGGTAGCTGGAGAGAGGAGCACAACCTGTAATTGCTTGGGTTGCTTCCAAATGTCTAGGGTTTGAGAGTTTTGATTTGGGGGGTTTTTCCTCTTATCTCTGATGGCACGTTAACTATAGGAAGATAAAATTGTGTAATACATTATCACTACAGATGATGTATATTGTGATAATAAAGAATGTAATTTCTAGAGTAGTTGATAACTATCCTAAAGTGACTAATTTGGTCCAGTCAAATCACTTATATATTCTAACTTAATCAGTTCCAATTGAAGAACTTCCTTGCACATTTATGCTCTTCTTCAATGCTAATCTGGATTTTATGGGATGTCTTCTATTTTTCTTGTTTACTTTTTCTTTACCTGCACGACTATACATACACACATTAACTGTTTTCACCCAAAGTACTTCCTTGCTGAAGATGGTCAACATATTCTACAGTGATGCTTAATATGTCAAGATCTTCTCTTTGGCTTTAATTAATGTCCGAGTTGTCTCTACGTGTGCTCAAATTTGCGCCATTCATTCCCTTTGATGAGCTATGCTGTTAAGAACCCCACCTTTTTACTTCTCTTTGGGTGTAATATGGCCTTTTTTATGATATATAAATTAGGTTCATGGTGCGTGGCTTCCACCTTGGCTTGCAGTTCATTTTATTCATTACCAGGTATTGTTGCCTGATCTTTTGCTGCTGCTTAAATATTAGCTGACTATTCTCATCACTTTGATTGAGTTTGTTATTTTCAGTCACTCTTGGAGAAGAACTGGGACATACATGGAAGACCAGCCTTGGAGATGGCAGTGCAAAAGGCAAGTGTCTAAGTTTCATTAAGTACATTAAGCTTCCTCTTAGATGTTGTTTGTGTATGAAGGAATTAAGTAATGTTAAATGCTCACCTTGAGACTTCATTTGTCAGTAGCCCCTATCTGTTTTTTTCAGGCATTCGAGAGGAAGGCCCAAGTTGAAGAATGGGCTGCACCACACATCGAAACCATGAAAACTGTAAGTCAACCCTGCATAAGCAAGGCTAAGTATTGAGTGTTTGATTTGCTCTATTGATGTTAATGCAGAAAAACAGGGATTGTTGAATGCATTTGTAGTTACGTTGTTACTCTCAGTTGATTGTCTATTGTACATTGCTTTATCTCTTTGGCATATATTTTGCTGCGCTACTAGTTATCTAACATAAGATATGAGACTTGCATTAGTTGGTTATATTGCAGTAGACACCATTAATGCTTTTAGTGAATATTTTCCATTTTTCCTGTGAATTTGAATTTTCATATACTGATTTATTCCCTTCTTCCCGTGTAAAGAAATGGATCCCAGCTATAAGGGAACAATGGATAACGTTAAAAACTGGTGCTGAACCACATGTACATATGCTAACGACAAAAACTCTTGAGATATATGAGGTCTCCAAGAACACCGTGACTCCGCGTATTATCCAAGTTCAGGAAATTGCTGATCCTTATTTTCAAGTGAGATGTTCTTCTACTGAAATCTAATTTGTTTACTCTCTCTCTCTCTCTCTCTCTCTCTGCCATCTGAAGTAAACCTAATTTAATTGCAGGAATTAAGGAAATTTAGCAAACCATATATTGATCAGGTTGCCACTGCAACAAGACCTCATGTTGATAAAATCCGGACTACTTTAAAACCCTATACAAAGGAGGCAGTTCATGCTTACAGAAAGTTCCTCGAGTCCGCAACAGTGTACCATCACCAGGTATGATAGTGCTATATGCATTCTTCACTCTAATTATTTCTCTGGGTGCTCTTTTATAGTTTTCTTTAGATTCAACGTGTTCAAATGATCATTACTCCTCTGGATATTATCATTTGACTTGGGTGTGCACCACCTGGCTCTTGCTCCGTCTCACTTGCATGCATACATACTCTACACCTTAAGCTTTAGTTTTTAAGATCCGAATACTGTAGTTCAAATGTGATTTTTTGGTGGATAGATGGAGATTATATTTAAAAGTTTTTCATCAGTAGAATTTTAATAGCTTATCCCACTGTATAGAGAACTGATCCCAGCTCTTCTTGCTGCACCATTAATGACTTTTAGAAGTTATAAAAAAATCATAAAATCCAACTAAACTGGGAAGTCACCAGCAGAAGAATGCCACCATTGTAACCAAACTTCACAAAGGCCATCTCTGGGTCGTACTGCATCATTTTAATTCAATTTCTTATCTCTTGTGAAGGTTCAAGACACTGTGCATGAAAAACTGAAGAGTCACGAGCTTACAAGACCTCTGGCAACAAGAGAGCTTGTTTGGTTTGTTGTAAGTTTTGTTAATCTTTCAACGGCCATGTCTCAAATTTTTCACTATCATGATCCATGTATCAATTAGGCTGCAACTGATTTTTTATGTGGCAGGCTTCTGCTGTGCTGGCTTTGCCCATCATCGTTCTGTTCAAAATATGTTCAGGCATCTTCTGGTTAGATGTTTAACTTGCCTATTTATTGGTCTTTGATTATTTTCATAAATTCTTTCTAATATAAAAAATAAGGATATTCTGTTTTAAGGACGCTTTTGTTCGGTTGAGAGTCAAACATTTCATCTACATATTGCAGTAAAAAGGCAAAAAAGCCCATTAGGAATGGCAACACTAACCATTCACGTCGGAAGGGCAAACGTGGACATCCAGACAAGTAAAGTTGGGAACTGTGTCCAATACTACTATTCAAGGTGTGCTATTAAACCTCTAAGAAAACTTAATGTTGTTGGGATCATTTGCATGTTGTTCATGTATGGATATAATTCACTTGTGCAACCGACAATTGGAGTTGGATTTGAGTGTGTGCGTTGCATAGGAGAGGTCCATCCCTCTGATGAAGCTCTTTATTTACAAGTAAGCTGGGACTTATCCACTATGCTAATACTGTTACATTTTTATTAGCAAATGAAGCAGTTGTGCAGGAGGGAAAAAAAAAATAGTGTACTAATATTGGATCCTTTTGTCATGTGTGAAGTTGGTTGCGAAAGAGGATTCGACATTCTTTATATGTCGGTGTCACAGGCTTCCGTAAAAATTGGGTTAATCACTTTAGTAAAGTGAAAAGGAAATATTTGTCTATTGAGTCCACTGTCAGATTTTGCATGTGGACCCATCTCTTCAAGCTTTGAGCGTGTAGATGGCATTGAAGCCAATTCTAGGTACTATATGTGTCAGGAGCATGTCAAGAGCCCAATCGATTTAAGCAGTCATGGAATGGGGAAGGAATTACATCAAATCTAATGGGATAATTGTGAAGTCCTATGTCAGTAGTGAAAGAGAATTTATATTAATTTTATGTAGGTGTGATGGGCTTCTATAATATCATTGTTTAACCTTTTTAAAAGAAAAGAAATGCCGAGTAGTTTTCGAAGCCCCTGCGGGTCCCTTACCTGCACGTATAAAGTGAGACACATTTGTGCTTCATGAATGATAGGACTTAAGATTTTGAATGTCTTGAACTACTTGATTAAATTTTATGGTCTTGGGTACACTAGTGAGCTTCACGAGCCCAGCTAATAAGAGTTTACGGGCTTGAAAGCATATTCAATTTGCCTGGTTTCAACATATGAGCAAATCTGTGATAGCTTTAGATGAGTCAAACCCGGGCTGATCTGGTTCAGCACTAATCCAACCTCAGAGCCCTGAGGCAAGATGAATATTTGAATGTACAAAGTACTGAAATTGTTTAAAATGCATATCCGGACTATTGTCTCATTATTTATTTGTTTACTTCCAAGGACGAGACAGTTATTCTCTGTTCTTAATTTAAATGAACTTGGCCCAAAAAATAAAATAAAAAATTATATATATATAGTTAATTGATTTGAATTCTGTTTCCAAATGTTGATGCTTGTCTCAATCACTTTTCAATTCTTTTTTCTATGTCATTTCGTGCAGATGGATTTGGTTTTTTGCCACGGGTGTTTGGAGGCTTCAGAGCTCTCTCTTTTATGAATTAGACTTTGGCTGGGAATGTTTTTGCAAATTCCATTTCATTTGTGAAGGGTATGGCGAAGAAAATCCTAGTTTTGAAGTTACAAATGGGTAGCCTAGGAATTTGTGTAATATCTATGCCATGTTGTGGTGTAATTTTCTTTTACTTTTGCTGTTAAACCTTCTTATACAATTCTTGCTTGTTTTGTAGATTTTAAAATATTTTCAATTTTTCAAAAAACTAATTTAATTAATCTGATTGTGATATATTTACTTGTTGAGCTCTGAAGTTATCTAATTAACTTTTAAGAATTTAAAAGTAAAAGCGTAGTGGAAATGTGTGATTCCACATTTGAAATAATGTTTTATATATATTTGTTTCTTTTGGTTTTGGTCGGGACCAACTGTGTAGATGGTAAATCATATTTGAAAGTGCCCAATTTACTTGCATATTTAAGGATTGGAGAATTTTCTTTGCGTGTACAATTCTTTAGTCAAGCGGTGGACATTTCAATTTATTTATTTTTTATTTTTAAAGGGGATAAATGGATTTCACTCCTCTCCAAAGGAGGCTCGAATTGAGGTCATTAGCTTGGTAAGAACATTTCTAAGACTATTTGTAAAGAGTATTTTCAAATTTAGAGAGTGAAATTTTTTAATATGCTTTAATAATGCTCTCTATTTCACCATTTTTAATAAAGTTCTATTAATTTCATCTCATTTTTTATTTCTAAGGTTTCGATTTTAGTGGGCTTTGACTTGGGTGTGTACGTAACAAACATTTGCAATTGTAAATTTAGAGGAAAATGGACATTGAAGATGAAATTTAAAAGATGTAGCAATCTAAGAAAACAAGGTCGAGATAGGGATGTCAAACGGGTCGAGAGGTTTGTCTGCTCGACCGTTCGGCTCATCAAATGACGAGCATGAGCTAAGCAAGGGTCGAATCTGCCCAAGTGCCAAAGTTCGTAAAAAATGTGAAGGAAAAAAAAAAAAAAGGGCTTTGACTTGGGTGTGTACGTAACAAACATTTGCAATTGTAAATTTAGAGGAAAATGGACATTGAAGATGAAATTTAAAAGATGTAGCAATCTATGAAAACAAGGTCGAGATAGGGATGTCAAACGGGTCGAGAGGTTTGTCTGCTCGACCGTTCGGCTCGTCAAATGACGAGCATGAGCTAAGCAAGGGTCGAATCTGCCCAAGTGCCAAAGTTCGTAAAAAATGTGAAGGAAAAAAAAAAAAAAAGTCGATCTCGTGGGTTGACCCGAGCTCAAGCTCGGCTTGTTATTATCGAGCCATGAGCTCAGCTCGTGCTCGCTTGTGTGCCATCTCTAGGTCAAGATTGATACATCAACAGTTAATATCTTTGTATGAGTCTACAATCACTGCCTTGGATGAACCTTGTTTGGGGGATTGAAATGGGCGTTTAAGTGTAATAGGATAGTAATGACAAAAAAATTTATTCAACTCAATACCCCTGGAGTTTCGTTCCAAACGGGTAGGGATTACACGCCTAATCAGACTAATGGGACGGAGGTAGGGGCTGTTGACCCCCCTATGTGGGGACGGGATGTATATGAGAAATATGATTCCGTTCCAATTTTAAATTTAAATTTTTTATCCAAAAATATATATATATATATATATATATATATATATATATATAAAATGAATCACCATCTTTTCCAAAGGGAACATTAGTTGTTCTTAACAAATTGAGAATTTCACCAATTAAAGACATTAAGAAATGAAAGTAAAAAAATAAAATAGGATGGCAAACCTTGCCTTGTTCCGCTTCGATCTCGACCCGAACCTGCTCCGTTGCGGTGGAGAACGAGAATGGTTGCTTCGATCCCCGCTCGTTTCGTTGCAATCCCTAAAACAGGATTTTTAATTATTGTGTGAGATATATATTGTTGTATACTGATTGTTGGAACGACACAAATCGCTCATGATCTTGATTCAAAAAGATGAATGGCCCAAAAGTGTATATAGGGGATAAGGACGTTTCTGATTTATTAGTAACGATTTTTCTTAAGCATTACAAAAGATGAAATAGGTTGATAATCAATTATTGATGGGACATTCTCACTATTTTGCACTACAAGTACGGATGATGAATAAAACAAAAATAAATAAATAATAATAATAATAAATAAATAAAATGAAAAGAGTCATACAAGGCTAACTTCACCAAGGGGTGTTTGGGAGTGATTTTTCACCCCAAAATTGATTTTTTAACCATTATTTCATTATTTCGAACGTAATTTTTTACTTCTTCTCTCACAAATAGCCCCCTCTTTTTTT